ATTGCGCGTTGATGCGCGCTGCTATGCGCAACCACATCTCGCGATCTGCTTGGCGATGCCCTTGCACTTTGGGGGCCGAACTGTTGGCGTTACAACCAACTGAGACGGAGCGCACGGAGCGCACGCCCGAGCCCAGCGAGCGGGAGAAGCATGCAGGGCGGTGTGTTTGGGGCGGCGGGGGTAGGGCTCGGGGGGGCTTTTAAGCCCAAAAACATTTATTTTATTGACGTAACCCCCCTCCTCAATTTTATTTTTAAGGTAGGGGGATGTAGGGGGGGATTATGAACCGCTGTTACAATCTTCTTTCAAGGACCATTTCATTTAATGTCCTAGGAACTTGCCCCAGCAGCAGCTGTCAGGCTTGAATTTGCATCACTTCCATCACAGAAGTCTGCAATGCCCCCTCAGGAGGCAGTGAGACCGACCGACTGACGTACGTCAGCCGAAGGCGCCTGGGCTAGGCCAGGCAGTCTGTCGCATGGCCCGTCCCAGAGGCGCATTCCTTGCAGCAGGTGTCAAACGGTTTGCCACTGCGCGTCACTCCCGGTGCCACCTTTCGGTGGCACTTCATCTTGCAATATCCCGCTTTGACCTGCTCGCGCCTCAGATCACAGCGCCCCATTCCAAATTCCAACCCTTGGCTGATGTTCCCATGTCCCCCAAAGCCCGTCGACAAAAATCTCGCTGAGGCGCCCTTCGTCGTCCACGCCGCAGAGATGGTCATGCAAGCCGGTGCCGATGGAACATCGATGGCAGCACCTCATGAACAATGCCGCTGAATCCGAGGGGTCGGTCGTGTTTGTTTCGGTATTCGGTACCCGTTGGGTTGGGTACCCACTTGCAGCCAAACAATTGAATTGCCAAGTCCAAAGGCCACAATGCCACAACATAGCTGTTGCTTGCCGGTACAGCTGATTGCCCACGCAGAACAAGACTGGTAAGTCAACTTGCGTTGTGGGAATGCCCAGCAGTGTCCTGCTTCCAGCCTCTCGGAAACTGGTGTGCAATGAGCCAACCGGCATGATTGCCCAAGAAGCCCACACGTGTCCCATATTCGCTCTCTGCCTGCGCGAAACCTGAAGCAAATCAGCCATTGAGACAACACCCCATTGGAAAGATCGTTCTTCAGGAAACTCTTTGACAACTATTGGAATGCCGAAAGCAGCAATGCGTTTCTTTGAATGTGACCAAACCTTTGTCCCTTGTCCAGTCTGTTGCAAGTCCTTTGATTGAGAGTGACTTTTCCTGTAGCCTTGCAGAACACTGGCATTCCCAAAGCATGGCACCCGCAAAGTGGGGTGATATTTGAGGAATTTCAGGAACCCCCGGATCTATGCGACCACTACTTGATCAGCCATTTGTCACTCCCGTCTTGGAACTACACGCATCAAGATTGCGCTGTTGACTGCCTCCGTCTATGACAGCAAGAAGCGCAACCTTTTCATATCATTTGTCAAAAAAGGCGCGCCCGCTTGAGACACGGGCTGACATTTGCCAGATTCCGCATGCTGTGTCACTTTTCCTTGTGATAAACATGGCTCCGGCAAGTCACATGTGCCAAACAGGTGGTCTGGGGAAACCACATTCCCCTCAACGGAATAAACGGAATAAACGGAAAGCATTTGTTGCCTCCTTTAAGCATCCAGCGTGGCAACTTCCTTGCCACTGGTTGCCGCTGGCCCATTCCGAGGGGCGTGGATGAGCCCTTGGCGGCAGTCCGGCCACAGCGCATCGCGCAACGCCCATCAGCAATCTGAGGCAACGCAACCGGGTAGTCCCATTGCGTTTCATTGCACATCCTGGGGTCCAAAATGGACCTTTTGGAGGCTTGAAGCTAGCGAAAGGAATGCCATGTAGGGGGGCCCTTTTGGAAATGCTATGAAATGCTCGCATAAAAAGGACTGCTGGACACGCATCTTACAATGAACCCTGCCCTCTGCTTCAAACAAGCTGCAAAAAGCTGCACATGAATACCTATGCTTTTCGCCAACATGTTCAAGCTTAATAGCAACACTAAAATAACCCCCATTGTTACTGATGGATGCTTTAAGAGCCTCAACCCAAAAAGGAAGAAAGCGGCCTCTCCCCCACAGCCTCTTACTTCGCATTCACATTTTTCATCACTTAATTGAGAATGTCGCAAAACAACTATTGAGCGGTCATGACTATTTCCCTTTAACAACAACTCAAATCAAACATGATGAACCACCAACAACCGACATGTGCAAATGTGAACAAGGATAAGTTGGGTGCCTATCTCGACCAATGCTAGCCACCAAACTGTTGTAAGTGCCGCTTACACAGTCACAACAACCGTAGAACATAGCAAGTCCGTGTGGGGAGTTTGCAGTTGCCGCTTTTCCAGATTCAAGATGCAGCGCCCCCTTCCCACCCAAAGGCTCTCCCCCGCGTGCAACACTGAGATACGGCGGCCTTCTCGTCCGTGCCACTGCAGCTCGCATCGTGGCCGAAACCCATCTCACAGCCTGGGTCCAGGGTTGGTTGAAAGGCCAGCGCAGCCTGGCTTGCCATGAAGGGAACCCCCAATTAGTCAAGTTTGAACACGTGACGGTGCACTGAAGGTCTGTGGGCTTTGCAGGTTTGTGGGAGGGAGCCCTGGAAGAGCCGCCTTCCTTGATTGCTAACCGTACTCCGCAAGAAGACGTGGTGGCGGCAACATCTTGCAAACGAAGACAAGGAACGGGCAAGGATCCCACCAATCGGACGCATGCTACGACAGACCACCAAGTGCGGCAGTCAAGTTTCTTCACGGAGGCTTGCCAAGGACACAGCTTGTGATACGTTCTACCCCTGCAGTGCCGCTCTCTTTATGGCGCAACTCTGATTGATATCCCGAAGCCGCATCGAAGTTCATTCAACTGCCTGGGTAGTCTGCTGGGGGGTAATCCTGGGGCGTTGCCGGCGTCGGATACGTAGCCCCAAGTGGCGCAGTTGAAGCAGGATATGTTGAGGCTGGAGTGGCTGGAGTTGTGGCTTGTGCTTAGGGGAGTCGGTTGTGTGGACGTTTAGTTAGGCTACCTGTCGGGTGGCAAACGCGATCAATCATCGCCAGTGGCTCGACATAAAGGATCGAATAAACGCAGGTAGATGCAACGCTCGCTTTCGGACTGCAACTAATCAGTGCTGGCAGCATGAAACGACATTGAGGGATCTTCATCTCGCTAAGACGGCAACTTTCGATCCCTTCCAATGGCGGGCCATACTCTTCTGTCCCGTCTCTAGGAACATAGGACTAGGCAGACCAAAGAAACCACAAATGCTTGCAAAAGTTCCCGCCTCGATTTCCAAAGCACACTCGAACTGAAGCAAAACGAAAACCATCCCAATGCTCCCCTTCACATTTCGGCTCAGCGATGTCCGATTTTCAAGGCCCCCTTGCCAGGGCCCCGCCTTTGCAACATGTCTCCAGCGGGAAGCCCAAGCCCGATTTGCCTGAGGCAAGTAAATTCCTAGAGAAAAGGGAGCGCAAATTACAACCCAACACGCACACACACACACACAGGCGCACACGCAGAAAATGCAAAAACTTGGGTGGGTGTCAGGAGTCCTTGTCGCACCAAGCTTTGAGTCACTGAGAGTCTACCGGCTTGGCCTGCGTGAAAAGCAATATCTGATCACCCCAAGTCCCCTAAAAAGTAAAAAGGATGGCTGTACTTCTCCAAACAGGCACCTCCAAATGGTGGGCGGGGTCCCAGTTGGTTACCCTTCTCAACACCCCCACCCCTCCCGAAAAACAAACGTGAGATTTGGAAGGGACCCCTGGAAACCATTTCCCACTAACGGGCGCCATGCTTGCTTTTGGGAGGGTCCCAGCTCTGACACGCACGCTGCTATGTATGGACAGAATAGGTGGTTTATCCCAGTATTCATAGCTGGGTTTCATCCATCCAAACTGGTGCAACATGTTGCTCTTGTCCATCCACAGTACCTCAGCTTCCCTCTAAGCGGTGGTTTGGAGGTTTGGGTTGGTGTTCGATTAACCCTCTACAAGTACCCGGGGTTCAAATCCCTGAATACTGCCCGTTTTTGCCTCTTTCTGCTTCCCGGCCTTTGGCTCTCGGACGACCGCAGCCCACCTTGCAAAGGCCCTCGGGCAACTTGTCCAAGGCGGCCGTACCTGCCGGTGCACTGAGAGCCTAGGAGTGCTCAGTTTTTATTCGCACTGCCGAGCATGCAAGCACGGATTTCAGCCGAATTTCCCAGCACGTCCGGTATGGCCCGGCATCTCTGTCGATGTAACATCCCAGCTATCAAAACGGTGGCCACTTTGGCAAAGCAAAACTCCTGAACATATAATCTCAGCTGCCTCTCTGCAATTTTGCTCTTCCTCCAAAGTTGGAAAGCTGGTTTTTCACCCAGCGACTGGGGAAGCTTGGCAACGAGCGACACGGGTACAAATCAGGCCGACACTTTTTGACACTCCGTCGAAGGCCTTTGCCCTCCAATGCTATCAGGCTCTGGTGGCCATATGAAAGCCGCTCAGGTGAGCAATGCCCAAAACCCTATGGGATTTTCTTGGTTGCCACAAGGCAATGGCTATATGGTGGATATATGGCCAAGGGTTGCCTCTTAGAATCCATTCAAAGCTCTTTCGCCGTCTCAATGGTTGCTTCTTCAGATTTACATATTACAAAAACCGTCCAAAGGGTCCAATTCGAGCGGGCCCCCGCCTGTTGTGCGAAACGCCCAATCTGGGCTTCGGGGAAAACACAACAACAACAAACACATGTCACCAACATGGCCAGCCAGCCGGGTTTTGGGCGCTGTGCAGGGCCATCGATTTGAAAGCTCGGTGCCCCAGCAAGGGACCCGAAAGCGTTAGAAGGGGATCAACCCAGTTGCAGCCTTTCAAGCCTTTCGGAGCACGGCGACCTACAGGGTGGGAAAATGGGGCTTTCTGATGAACCCATGAAGGCCAATCCCTTCACTGGACATCACTGGACACACACAGAACATATGCTTTCTCGAGCAATACAAACTACCGCAACCCCTGGTTTCACAGAACCCCTTCAAATGCATGGGGTCCCTTGCTCTCGTGAGATCTTCCCTGTAGCTGCGCACATGACGCACTGTACAGCTTGTACACCTGGGCGTTCCCAGGAACTAAAACGGCTTCCGCTCACCTCAAACCACCACACCTTCTGCCCTTGGTGGAAGCCGATAAAGGCCACTCCGCCACTCCGAATTCTTGGATTTCAGAAGCGCGTGAGGTCGCGCCCGAAGAGGCGGCTCTTGATCCAATCAAAAAGCACCAGCACGCGGTTTCGGAAACTCACCTGAGCGGCAAAGATCGGTGGCCCTGGCAGAAGGCGATCGGCCAACGATCCATCCACAGCTAAAAAACCCTGGGCTCAATGTTTGAGTATCGATGGCCCCCAACGGCATTGCATGTTGGTGAGGATTTAACCTCCATCTTCACCTGGTGTTCGGCAGCCGAAAAAAGGTGGCACCAAAAATGACGGGCATTCTGATCGCCAAGCAACATTATGGCTTTGGGGAAGCGCCTCCGACAAGCCCGGTTTCGCGATTTGACATCCTAAGGACAAGAGTTGGCCTAAAGACAAAAGTTGGGCTGGTTAGTGAGACACATTTTGGAACCTGACTGCGACATGCTCGAGGGCCATTCTCCTCTCTTGATTTCCATGCTTGTGGGTCGGGCAACTCAAAAGAGGCTAAGGTTGCAGGGTCATGTTTGCTTGGAGGGGAACCCTAAGGAGCCTGACCATGTTTTGGGTTTTCCCAATTTGGCGGATACCCAAATTGCCCCCGGCAAGCCAGCTCCATGTGAGCATCCATGGCTATGTTTAGCTTTTGCACTGTCACATTTTTCCCCTCAGGCCATTGCTTCCCCCAGCATTTTTCACCTCAGAACTCCGGGTCCTAATTTGCAAATGACATGAGACAATGATTGAGTCCCCCATGTCCCTCCCAAAATCAGACTAATTGTTCTTGACCAAACCTCAGGGGGCTTTTTGACCTTTCCTCGGCCTGCTTGACGATGTACACAGAGCGCCAGAGCACAAAGGCGGCTAGGCCTTTGGTCTCTGACACCGGCGTGGAGCCCAGCCCTAGCTCCGCCACCGCCTGCGACTGCCCCAGGTATGCCAACCTGGAGAGTGGAATTCTTTATCCCTGGTCGTCAGATAGTGAGCTGTCGAGGGTGTTTAAACATGTTAGGTTGGACACCGTAAGGTGGGTAGTCTCTTGCTTGGTTGCCACGTAGGGAACTTGTACACTTTTTAAACATGCTGAAGCAACTGAGCAATAGCTCAAACGCTTGGCAGGGTTCAACATGGAAACTATCATTACTTTCAGCTGTCCAAGCTGCAATTGCTTCAGTTCAGTTTCAACCGCCTGAAATTTCGCCAACGCCACCCCCCCTCCCCACCCAAGTCAATCATAAATAGCAACGTGCTCTGCGTCGGATTGACAATGCTCCTGGGCTCCTCCCTAACTTTTAGGTTCCCAAATCCGCACGTCAAGCCTGCAGCGACAAGAGGAAGTTAGAGGATCCCAGAAAGCATCTCTATCAGTGACTTTACTGAAGCGCGGAGCTGCGATGAATGACTGTCGCAGCCAGTTCTCCCGACCTGTTTGCCTCCAAACCAGGATGCCCTTTCTTCGGACCTGGTTTTTTTCCCAGCCGGCTACCCCATCCCCCGGGAAGAAAAGAAAAAAAGGCGGGAAGAGGAGCTTGTCAACCACGTAAAGACCACTTTACTCTGGCCAGGCTAGTTTTTTTTGCTCAAAGTATTGTAAGCAAGTGGGCCCCAACAAAATGGCCCTTCCCTAAATTATCTTCTGGTGGGCGCAAAGGAACAATGGAGGCACCGTATCCAAGGACCAGTCTCCTGTGGCTTTCCTCCCCAGAGCCTCGAGCCAAAGGAAAGAGCAACTGTCCCAAGCACGAGGACCTGCTCTTTGCATCAACTCTTCTCTGGCCTCCCCAAGTCAAGGAAGCGGAAGGGCGAGGCCTCCGGCCGCCTAGGCCAAATCAGTCAGTTTGCGGGGTGGTACCCCGCTTTTGGGGCAGGCCTGCCATTGCGCCCCTTCAGAACCAACACGCAACCACCAGAACATATGGGCTTATCTTTGTTTGCTTTGAGACTGTTCCCTTGAATAGGTGGCAAGGGTTTTTCCCTGCAATGTAGAACCCTCCAAACAAGGGTGGCCTCTCCTGTCACATTGCAAGTCAATGACGGTTGCACTGGTTGGTCGGATTGCCAATTTGAATTCCTCTTGCAATGGTTGGTATTTCCGACCCAAGTAGCATGACATGCTGTCATTCTGCAGCAAAAAATGGGATGGACATGGCCTAGGACCCATGCTTGCTGACAGCACTGGAATCTTTGGTCGCGCGGTTTTCTTGGGTTCCGCTGCGCAAGGTGCGTGCTCACTGGTGAGCCTTCACACATGGAGCTCGTTGAAAACCACCCTTTTTTCCCAAGGCCCCTCACTGCGCTCACGAATATCACGGCCCACACGGTCCACCGTTGAGGATGATGGACACTTGCAGAATCTACGTGGCTGAGGGGTGTGTGTGTGTGTGGAGAAAATGGTCGTGTTTGTGTCTGATCCCTTTTATGACACTGAAACGGGGCCCCCAAAGAACCACTTCGGAGCAACTCCTCCAAACCCGCGAGCTGGAGTTCCCAGACATTTTCCTGGCCCACAACTCGCCCCATTCTTTTACCATCAATGTCCGTCCCCGCCCCCCAAGCAGGTTGAAGGGACACAGCCCCAGCTTCTAATTCTGATGGGCGAGAACATGCGAGAACCCCCCCCAAAACGGACACAATCCAGCCAAATCCACCCGGACGGCGCAACATGCCAGGGCGCTTGGTGATATGTGCCAAATCGAACTTCTCCGAGCTCTCGAGGACTGGAACCGGCTGTGTCAGGTCGTACTGCCTCACAAAATACTCTCCAAGTTTGGCTCAAGTCCCACTGCAGAAAACGTGGGGATATCGGGATATGCCCTTCCATTTCTGGCTTCCCTTGTACTGAAGATGAAGGTTTCTTTATTGAGGAATAGGGGTTGTAATCAAATCAAGCTTTGAGGGTGTTCCTTCCCCTCCAAAGGTTCCAAATGGGATATATAAATGCACATAAAAACACCCAACAAGGGCCCTCGTATATTCAAACCGGGGAATACACGTTGCAACTCTGAAACACATGCAATGTCATAGTACATGACGCTCGTATTTGGTAAGTGGCACATGTGAAACACAACGCCATGCCGTCCCGAACCCGAAGCCCCCTGTGGCCGTGCCTGTTCAGCAGCCTTGCCACGAAGGCGCCCTGCTGCGCAGCCACTTGGGCCGTTTCTGGCAGGGGCTCCTTCAGAAACAAATCCAAGCGCGGGGGTGTTTGGAACACAAAAAAACAGGGGAAGTGGGTGAACTGACAAAGCTTCTCCTGTAGTTTCTGTCACTTCAAACTGCATAAGAGAAGGGGCAAAAGGATTAGATTGTGGACGTAGGGTACCCTCTTGGCGCATTGACCGCACTTTTACTCCTCATGTTCCATCCGGGCGCAGTCCCCGAGCGCCAGCACGGAGCCATCCGTGCCGCAAGCGCCTGGGGCGCTCCGTTTTGGGTACACCCAAAAAGCAGGGTGTCTCAAACTGTACTTGGGACAACCCTATTTGATAACCTGAGTAGGTGCATCATCCAGCTTGGTTCTAGTGCAGCTCCAAAAATGCTGCGCCGTATTCGGCCAAGGTCTGGTCATGCCTCTGGTCCACTTGTCCCCCCCGGTGCAAAACGATGACTTGTTCGCAACAACCCAACCAACAGAACGCCTTGCCCTATTGGCAGCTCAAGCACGCAGCCACTTGTCCACGAAGAGCTGGCGATCGCTACCCTTCGCCTCCGACTGGGCGAGCTCTTGCTGTTCTGGGATGGCTTGATGCATCTCCCGGACCAAGTCCTGTCCCGGAAAGCGCAGCGCACATTTCATGATGGACACCCTTTCAAGAAATGCGTCTTTCCGGGGCTCCCTGACCTGGTTAGGGGTTGCAAGGAAAAAGGGCGGAATCAGAGTTTCTGCCTCCTGGGAGTCTGTTTAGGTTGCCCTTTAATGTGGCCCCAGGACAATTAAGCCCCTGCTTCATTGGGGGCGCAACCTGTTTCAGAGGGGATCATTCGGAACGCCCCGCCCATCAATCGGACACATTGATTAATCCGAGGTTTACACTATATTGAGGACATAAAGGGAATGCAAAATACTCGCGCAAACTTCTCAATGACAAATCCCCGCAGATTAAACGCGAACGCACAAGAGCAACATTTCTAGAGATTCATGGTCCATTTCGGGTCGGCTCATGGGGGGCTCTCTAAAATACCTGCAAAAACCGTGAGGCCCTCCGGTTTACCATGTCCACAAATGGCGCAAGATCTTACAGCGCGCCATGGCTGGTTTGCAACCCCGTCCTGACCAATCTGCCCGGCGGCCCAAACAGTGAGACCGCAGGGTAGGGCCATCTTGCCATCCTCCTAAAGCCGCTAGCGCGAGATTGGGGCCAACTAGCTTCTCATTAAGCCCAATGTTTCTGGCAAGCCACGCTTGCTCAACACATGCTGCTTTAATGAAACCTTTGACGGCTTCCAAGGTTCCACATTTGCCAACCAGCTCTGTGGACTTTGGTGCTCTGACGCCCCATCTTTCCCAAGGATCCTTCTTGCCAGAAAACCCTCAACCACTCACCCATGCGAAACAGCTGCTGTTTGAGAGGGCATCTCTCGCTCCAATTGCCATGTTCCCCTAGTGTAACGAGCATATCTTGTCCGTATCCCTGAGACTGTCTCCTGAAGTCTTTCAACTCCACATCATGTTGAAACTGCCGCTCGTGAGTCATCTGGCCTTCTGTTTGCCCCTCCAAACCCGAAAGCCATAGGAAAACAGCCATTTGCTGAAAGTTTCAGGGTGCCAAGTAGTGGCTCGTAGCACCCTTGGCGAAAGAACACTGTTAGGGATGCTCTTGGCACGACCCAAATATCCCAGGCTGCTGCCGTATAGGCCACGGATTGATAATCTCGGCGCTGATGATATGGGGTGTTTCCTCCATAAGGCAAAGGGCCTGCTCTAAACTAGGAGCAGGGGCTGCTTATGGGTTGACGTTGGTGGCCATTGCCCTTCTCCTGGAGTGACACATGATCCACTCCGGGGTTATTCAGCACCCAAAGGTCCAAACGAGCCTCCATCCACTTGTGGGCTTCAAGGGGAAGTTTTAATTTGTTGGGTCGGTCCACGCAACAATAGCAACAACACGCAACCACAACAAAATCCACGATGAGGGAAGTCACCTGCTTCACAAAGGGATCCTCTAAATCAAATACTAAAGGCCATACCCCGACGAAGCCACGCCTTCTGGATGTGGACCTGCTCGGCATCCACCTGGGACACCGATGCGCTGGTCATCACCTCGATGCCCTGATTCTCCAAGGTCTCCCGGGCCGCAGTCTGCCTGACTTTCGCGAGGCGAATGTGCAGTCGGATTGTAAAAGGACCCCAAAGGCAGAACAACACTTTTCTATTGGCCTTCCGCTGGCACTTCGGGCCCGTTCGTGTTTTCAACCAAGAACAGGTCAACTGCGGGTTGAATTCCAGGTTTTCTGCCGCGCCCCCTGTCAGTTTCATTTGATTCCCAAAGCAGGTGTCTACTAAAGGGGTTCTTGCGGTAAGAGTAAAAGTCCAGGGTTAGATCTGGGTGCTCTCAGCTATCAGGGGTAGGCGTCTCTATGCCATGGGTGTGCAGCAGCACTTGAAAGCAGTGCAGGTTCGCAACTCCGAGGCTGAGTTTATCTCTCTCTTGCGCGATGGAGGGCGGTCATATCCACCAAGCGACCTCGCTTGGCTTTGGACTTGGCCCATATGTTCAGCGACACACCTCTTGCCTCATTGGCGGTCTGCGACCGTAATGGGGTAAGAAGAAACACGCTGACATAGAAAGTGAGCCCTCTGCGGACTTTAAATGGCTTGGACCTCTCTCGCTGTGAAGCGGTGCAAATTGCAGGCATCCAAGCACAGGACCTGCAAAGATACTTTGCAAGCAATCTTGTGCATCCTGGACAGAGACTCAGGAATCCTGGACAGCCACTCACGGAACCTCTTGCAGGATATCTTCTATGGAGCTTCAGAAGGCTTCTGTTCGCAGAGCAAGACCTTCTAGAGATCCTGTTTGCATCTTCTGCAGCTACTTTCATGTTACCTGCGTGGCTTCCTATCTCACTTTTTGACCACCGTTTGGGGTGGCTTGCTGGCACAATGTTGCTTTAGAACAACCAGAGAAAAAAACACGCCCATGCAAAAGTGTCAGCTACAAAGTGCAAAGAGCGTGCCGTGCTCCAAAGAAGCAAATCAAGATATGCTTAGGGTTGGCTGGGGGCGGGTTCAGGGCGGGTTCAAGGTTGATTTGGGGTTGGCTTAGGGTTGGTTTCGGGTTTGCTTAGGGTTTGGGGTTGGTTTTGTGTCCTAAGCAGGAGCATGTCGTTTTTTGCGGGTGCTCGCTTTGGGGTTCTTTGATGTGCCGGCCTCTCTTTTAGGGCTCCCGGTGAGAAACAACATGAGACAAACAAATCATGGATCGGGAAACAAGCCGAGAGGCAAATTCCCGGAGAAGGAGGGCAGCACCTGCTTCCCCCTGTGCAGCAGGATGATGCGCACCAGTGGAGCCAGGCGAGGGTAGAAGCGCCGCAAATCGTTCCTGTTGCTCGCAGGGGCGGTGGCAAGCAGCTGATTTTGTTTCAATAAACGGGAACTGAAAGGAGAATAGTTGCTTAAACATGTTTGAACGGAGAGTCGCTGGGCCCTTATAGCTGTTCGAAGCGCAGGATCAGCTAATTCTAGAACTTAAGGAGGTTTCCTCCAACGAGAACAATTGGCCAACGAGAACAATTGCCGAGATCTTGTGCTGTTAAATTGGTTGGGAATTCCTGGGTACAACAAGAAATATCTTGAGGGTGATTGGGATCTCACCTTGATTCACGAGCCGAGCCACCTGGGCTAATCCGCTCGCAAGTCCCAGCGACTTGACAAGATCCGTAGCCGCGGGCACCTTCTGAACAATCAGTTGGGTGACCCTAAATGAGGTTCCTGTGGGATGCCAAACGTGCGACTGTCCTTTGGCGCAAGATGTCTTCACATTCATTAGAAGCCGTCTGGTCTCGCCTCATTCAGGTTTTGTTTGAAAGAGGCCATAGCTATGTTGACTGAACCAACTTTGTCAATCCAACAATGGAGTTCACAGGGATAAGGCGGTGATAGTTTGTAGTGGATGTCTGGTGCAACGACTGCAGCGCTCCAATGCAACTAACTTGGATGCATCAAGAACTCCTTTCGCGGTGGCAGTTTGTGGGGTTGAAATTAAACCGCTGGATGTCAAACACGGGGTGTGAACAAAATTGGAAACGTTGGCCACTATGGATGACTTGGATCAATCCCTCAGGAGCAGGAATGACCTTCATCACGGATGAGCTCGTGCCACCTCCCGGCAAAAGTGGATGGCACTGGTAAATCATCGGAACAAAAGCGAAAGCAATGCCAGGGGGCAAACGCATCACACGCATTCTTCCCACATTATCATGAGGTAATCTGGTTTAATTCATGAGGTTGTAGCCTATTCTACTATTCTTCTATCATGAGGTACCCCTCAACCCAACGCTAGTCATTCAGGTCCTAGGATTTACTGGACGCCTCCGAACAGACCAAGCGTCAACAAAAGACGAGCCACTGAGCTTAGGGAGCTACAGGGGCCATGCGTTCAGGCGACTTCACGAAATCCGAGAGCTCCCCGCAGAACTCGCAGCCAGTAGGACCACCCCCAACCACCAGGAAGGTGAGGAGCCGCCTGCGCTCCTGCGGCACTCAAAGCAGGACCGTTCTTTTGTTTGCCTCCATTTCACCGCTTGTGGGGTCAGCAACATGGGGTCCCCCAAACAACACCTAGCGGGTCTAGGTTGGCATAACTAAGAATTGGGTCTGTCTCTCTCTCTCTCTCTCTCTCTTTCTCTCTCTCTCTCTCTGCTGTGCACCTTTCTGGGTTGGATGCCGTGCAAAGCGTGGCTTCCAACCAAGAAACTTTATGAATGGAATGAAGCGAGAACACTGCTCAATTTGTTTGCCACCGCTCACACGGGCTTCTGCATTTTTTTATTTGATGAAGCTGGAGGGGGTCTGAAAGGGAGCGGCCGTTCCAAACCCTGAAAGGCGGCATTGGGCGTCGGCTACCCTTTGGGCTTGATTGTTGTATGCAACATGTCTGCGCCGAGCACAGAGGCTCGTAAATCAATCATGATTCAAGGGAAACAGCCTCATCGCTGCATAGCCTTGAAAGCGCCATCTTGCAATACGTCCTCGTCCGTTTTGACAGGAAGGTCAGCCGCCTCGAAGTTCTGCGTGACCTGCTTCCTGATGCGCCGCGCATCCTCGATGTTCTTGAGAAAAAGGCAATTGGCATCCACGCCTGCAAAAGACTACAACCACAAGGGATGGTACAGACAGGTCCCGCATACGGTTTGGTTTTTTGGTCTCAGGTGAAATGGGATAAGTCACCAACCTGAACTGAAAATTGGGCAGAGGCCTTTTTGGATGAGGTTGCAAACTCCCCTTTGTGCGAGACTCGCACGTAACATGGGACGTGGCTTGCTTTCAGTCTCTCCAAGCATGAACAATGTTAAAGAAACAAAAGTCGCACCCGTGGGGCTTACGTGCTTGTAGGGACCGCTTAAAACTTCAAATTGTAAATCTCATATTGGCAGGCGTGGGTGTGCGTGGAGTCCTGGCGGGACCGACTCGGTCCAACAAAGCTATGCCTCAAAGAGGAAAGCAACAACTGGCCATGGATGTGCGCCTGCTACTAGTTTCTCTTGTCCTTCCCCTTTAAGGTCAACGTGTCGAGGGTAACTTTTCTGCGAGTGAAGCTTGGCTCTACACATTTGTGTGTGTGTGTGCTTAATTGTCTCTGTGTGTGTGTGCTCGAAATTGTGTGATCGGCACATGCTAATGTTTAAGGGATGGAAACAGCAACAACATTTAGTGATGACACAGGATTTTCGTACAGAAGCCAACATTTGCAGTGTTGGTGACAATAACATTGGATTGAATAACGTCAACCTGCATCAAGACTGGAGGCAACATGCACCATTGATTGGTGTACCGCCGGCATCAAATACTTACTGTTATTCAACAGGCGTAGGCTAAGGAATGGTTTTAATCTGTCTTCAGGCCGTCGTTTAGGACACGCTCACGCTGAAGCATCAAGAATAAAACATCCAACAACTCAACAACATATGTCTATGACAGTGGGAAACTCAGAAGCAAAGAACTGGAATACACGGATGACAGGTCAAAACCAACATGGATGCTTGCAATTGTTCAACGGGCTAGGTGCGTTCAAACATTCACAACGGCCAAACACACACACACACATTCTCTCTCTCTCTCACACACACACCTCATACAGTAGTTTAGCACATTTTCTTTCAAACAGGTGTGGATCAAAATCATGACATGCACATGTCCGCGTGTTTAGGGAGAGTGATCGCAAACTGGAGGCAACCGCGCGAACAAGGCGCAAGTGCTTTGCCTTGCCTGGAACTCCCAAAGAGCTGGGCCGCAGCCCTACTGCCACCACCAAAACCTCGATGCATATGGGAATCACAGTGCAAGCCTTTCTTCTCAGGGGCAGTCTACTTTAAATCTGTGTTCGGGAAGCGGCGTTTTGCACAAGGAAACTAAGGAAAGTGGTGAGGTCCTTAGTTGCTCCTCCTCTCGCTCTCTCTCTCTCTCTCTCTCTCTCTCTCTCGTTAAAATCGGTGGTTACTTTGCTTACAAGTGCAAGTGCTGTAGTGTTCAAACAAACAGTCAACCAGTGTAGTCTGCAGCTGCCAACCTTTTGACTCATGCGGAGTAGTAAGCTCAAGGCCTGCGGTAGTGAACATACATGCAACAAGAGTGCAAAGTGAAGCATGTAGTTTGACACGGCCCCTCAGTTAAAAGGTCTTTGTAGTACCTTTTCAACTGAAGTGCAAAACATGGATTGACAGTAGTGATGAAAACCATTGTTGTTCATCAATTCTACTGTATTGGCAAAAGTAGTGACCTGCGCTCAGTAGTTCACGCTGTTCAGGTTCCAGCTCGATGTAGGGCGCTGGACGGAAGTAGTGAAGGCAGGCACTCGTTGTAGTAGAGCAGGAGCTCAAAAATGTAGTCCCCATTTCTGGGTGCGGTAGGCTTGGACCATCTGTAGTCGACTGTCCAAGGTCGCGTAGTAGTTGGTGGTGAAAAAGGTTGTCATGTAGTTTGGAGCTCCCCATAGTCGCTCATCATCAATCTCGGGACACGACATGTGTTGATCGTAGTCCCGTAGAAAGCGGTGTAGTAGTGCTTTGTGGTGTTGTGTGAGGTTGGTCATTGTGAGTAGTGTGAATCCGTAGTATTGGATGCTTTTGCAGAGGATTGTAGTGATTGCTTTGTGTTGGTAGTCGTGGAGTTGGTCTCTGTTGTAGAGGTAGTGGAGTAGTTCAGGTAGTAGTAGTGGCATGTGGAAATTCCAAACGTAGTTGTTCCTGAGGCTGTAGTTGTCAGTGAAGGTGGTCATGTTGTAGTTCACCTTGAAAATGGTCTGTGGCAGTGTTGTAGTCGGGAGGTAGTAGTTTTGCATCATGTAGGAGATGTAGTCCCTTGTGAAGTGTAGAAATTGTCCTGAAGTGAGGTACCTCAGGAGTAGTGGTTGTTCAATCTGGAGTTGGATGATGACGTAGTTGGTGTTGTCGCCAGTTGTAGTGTGGAGTGAAGTCGTGTGGTAGTAGTGGACGTTGGCTGCTTCAGGTAGTGAAATGCTGAGCAGTGTGGAATTGTAGTGTGGCATCCGAAGATCTCCAGGGATGCAGTGAATGGGTCGTGTGTAGTCCAGTTGTGCCAGTGGAGTAGCTTGTTGTTGTGAGAGTAGTTGATACTCTTCAAGTGTAAATGCAGTGAAAAATTGCGTGTAGGGAATGTTGTTGGCCAGTGGTGGTGCAGTGGTTGTCTGGTGCTCAGTGATGTGTAGTTGGTCCATCACTGTGGTCGGGTTGTAGTAGACGGTGTTGCCGGGTGTAGAATGGTTGAAGTGGTAGTTGGAGTCGTTGTAGGTTTGAGGTGGTGGAGTTCCATGGTCACTGGAGTCCGTAGTGACCGCCACCTCAGGTGTAGTCGCCCTGTCGGGCGTAGTGGCGTCTCCCATCGTAGCATCTGCAGTAGATGGAGCGGCCATGGCTGCAGTGGAATGCAAAATGTAGTGAAACGGGGCAAAACAAATGAGCCTAAGTAGTTGCTACCAGGCAGTCGGCGAATGCAGACATGTAAAACAAACAACTGTAGTGTTGACTCAAGCCGCCAAAAGTGCAAGTGAAAGTACATGTAGTTACTGTTACTTACATACCAAAAGTGTCGTGTTACATGTAGCTACTTACATACATGAAATGTCCAAAGTCGTTGTTGTTGTTGTTGTTGTTGTTGTTGTTGTTGTTGTTGTTGTTGTTGTTGTTGTTGTTGTTGTTGTTGTTGTTGTTGTGAAACTGCTGTGCTGGTCGTTCGTAGTGCTAGATGCGTATTCCAATAGTGCTAGATGCGTATTCCAATGCTCTGGATGAGCCTGTGTAGTGTTTCTTTGCTGATGTATTTGGTAAACAAATCTGCGCTGTTGAAGAGTGTGTTGATCTTAAGGATTCTGATGATGTCGTGCTTGATGAGGTCTTGTGTGTAGAGGAATTTGAGGTCGATGTGTTTTGCTCGTTTGCTAGTGCCTTGTCGTGTAGCAATGCTCTTGCCTGCTGTGGAGTCTGTGGATGCGCAGGTTTAGCTTGCTGCAAGTGTTGGTTTCAAGTAGGAAGTTTCTGAGGTGTAGTCCCTCATTAACTCCTGTGCAAATGGCGTAGAGTTCAGACTCTGCTGAGCTAAGTGCTATTGTAGCTTGTGTTCTGCTGCCAAATGCAACTGTTGTTCCTAGAAAGATGATGTTGAAACCTGAAGTTGATTTCCTGGTAGTAGGGCATCCTGATCGACATGAACGTCGAGATCCAGGATGTTGTTGGTGTTTGCTCTGAGTGTTGTTGTTGTTTCTATGGTGAATTTGTAGTGCTTGGTGCCGTGCAAGTAGCGTAGTAGATGATTGACTCTCTTTTGTGAAAGTTCTGTAGGTGCTGTGAGGTCTCGTGCTAGTTCTTTTGTGGAGTATGCAATGTCTGGTCGTGTGTATGCCAACCATTGAAGTTTGCCAACAATTCTTCTGTACCTTTTGTGTTGTTCGTGGTCAAGTAGTGCTTCATCTTCTATTGTTGGTTTGTAGTGTGCAATTCCTGGAGTGTTCACTGAGTTGCAGTTGTTCATTCCAGACTCCTCGATCATGTTGTCGATGTAGGAGTCCTTTAGTCCAAGATTGCAGTAGTTGCCGAAGTGGTCGATGTTTCTTCCAAGAGATTGTTGTGGTTTGCCAGGTTCGGGGTAGCCGATGTGCTTGAGTAGTACCTGCTTCTGGACGGCCTCGAAAGTGGAGTCGACTGCGGTCTTGTCTCCAAGTACTAGTAGATCGTCCACGTAGACCATGATGTAGCAGTCGCGAGTCGCATTGGTGTAGACGTTGGGTTCTGACTTTAGTCTTACAAAGCTGAGCTTTTGTAGAACTTCAGCCAGGTAGTCCTGCCATGCTTTCGGTGAACTGCGTAGTCCATACATGGCTTTCTTTAGTCGCCAGATTTTGTCCTGTTGTGGACAAAGTTCTTTAGGTGGCCAAAGGTAGACGTCACGTTGTTTACCGTCGTGGTCTTTTGCGATGGGTGCGTGTAGAAATGCTGTAGAGACGTCACCTAGTCGCGCGATCCAGTTTGGTCGTGACATTTGTAGTGCGAGAAGTGTCCGGAGTGTCGTGAACATTGGTGTAGAAGCGTAGTCTTCGTCCTCGATCTTCTCGGTGTAGCCTTTTGCGACGATTCGGCTTCGCACTCCTGGTCCTTTCTTCCTGTGTTCCCATCTAGTAGGTATCGCTTCTCTTATGACGTTGTCGTCGACGGTTGACGCATCTACTTCGTCGTAGACGTCGTGTTGTTTCATTTGGTTTGACTCATGTTTCATTCCTTCCAGTAGTTGTGTTTCGTCGTAACCTTCGTTGTCGAAGATTATGGGTTGGTCTTCTGAGGTGTCGTCGTTTGTGAAGGGAGTGATGGATTTTCCGTTGGGAAGTGTCACTGCGTTGATTTTCTGTCGTAGTGGTGGTGGTTCTTTGGTTGCTTGTTCCGTTGATCTGATTGTAGTGTCCTTTGAGGTCTTCTGTGCTTTAGTTGGTTGCATTACTTCTTCCGGAGTTAAACGTCGTAGTGTTTGTCGAGGTGGTGCTGGTAGTGGTGGATGTTGTCGTCCAGTTGGTGAAGTAGCCATAGGACTATCCGGTAGTGGTCGTGAACTTGACGTCGATGTGACGGAAGTCGTGGAGGTGGTGTAGTGCGTTGTTGTTTTGTTGCGGGTTCTGCAACGATGTCGTCCGTCGCATTCGTTTGTTGTCCGAAGTCTTGCGTGGACCTTCTTTTCTCTGACGGTTGTAGTTGCGTGTCCAACAGTGTTGCGAACGATGGGTTGTAGGTGTTCCGCCGTGGTGCCCATGGTGTGCCGGAGACTTTGTTCAACAGTGCGAGGTCGTATTTGAAGTCCGGTTGTAGTCTCCGTACTGTTCGTACCTTTTGTACGCCTGATTCCGTTGCGACGTAGTTTTCTCCGGTTTCGGAAACTTTTCCGAGCCAGATGCATTTCTGCATCCGTAGGTTTCTTGTGTTGTGGTGGAAGGTAGAGTAGTGTCTCGCCAAATTCGCAGATTGCTCGCTCGTGGTTTCTTCCCCAGCGGCGTTCAAAGCTTGTGTAGCCGTCTGAGTGGATGACGTAGCGATTTACCGTCCATGCTGCATGTCGTACTATCCAAGGTAGTAGACAGTGCTTTGTGGACATCGTCATGCTGTAGTTGCTTTCAACCTGAGCTTTGACGACGCGGATTTGTCCGAGAAGTGTTCTATGTAGTCGCTCAACGCTTCCTTGACTGTTGCTGCTGTAGGAAGGTGAATGTCGTACACTCATTGTGCCGACTTTTGCTGCTGTAGCTTTTAGAAGTGCGTTGAGTGTGTCCTCGTTGTCGCTTTGTAGTATGCCTTGTGTTCTTCCGCACTCAAAGATGAATGCTTGTAGGTTGTTGACCATGTAGTCCATCATTGATGCTTTGTCTGGAACCAATACTGCCATACACAGTTGTGTAGTAACATCAACTGCTGTCAGTACCGGTGTGGTCTTTGGGTCTTGTTGTGACTTGATGTAGGCAAAGTCTACTTGAATGACAGGTTGTCGTGATTGTTGTTTCTTGTAGTTGTCTTGGCGTCCTTTGCCTTGAACGCAAATTGGACACCAGTTTCTGTATGGTAGATGTGTAAGGTTGTGTTCTGCTATTTGTTGTGGAGTGGGCTGCTGTGGTTGTCGTAGTCCTCTTGCTCTGTGTGCTTCATGATGCTCGTGTTGTTGTTCTTCATCGTGGTTCTCCTGGATGTACTCGTAGTCTTTCTTCACGGTGAACCTTGTTGTTCCTTTCCATTGAAATGGTAGTGCTGCGTTGCCCATGACTGTCCAGTCATCTTTGCGTTGTGAAACTTCTCCAAAGTTGTTGTGAGTGATTGTAGTTCTGTGAGGTTCAAGTGTGTTGATTGGTGGATGTCCTGGTCCATCTGTTGGAGTGAAGAGAGTTGTTCTAAGCGTTGTGTGGTGTCGTATCCAGTGTTCACCTTGTCTTTCCCAGTAGTCTTGGTTGTCCTCCTGTGCTGTGAGTGGTCTGTGTATTGTCTCCTTTGGTTGTGTGGTGTCAAGATTTGTAGAAGGTGCTGCTTTAGGTCTCCATATCTTTTGTGGTGCTCGTAGTTGGATCTTTGATCTGGTTGGTGGTGTGTCCATTAGCCGTTGTGGTTGTGAGCTCTGCCTTGTTGGTGTGGTCTTTGATGTTGCTCTGCGTGTAGGTGTTATCTTTCTTCTGAATCTGGTTTCTCCAGTCCAGTTGTCACCTTCTAGTCTTCGTTGTAGTTCTTGCTTGGAAAGTTGTGTTGGGTTCTCTTGTAGTTGTTCTTGCTCTTGCCCTTGTCTGTTGATGATGGTTAGTCGCCAATCATCTAGTTCTCCTTCTGGTATTGGGCAGCCACTGTTGTGTGGTGTGAACAGTGCTTTGCGTGGTCGTTTGTGTACTCTGATGGCGTAGCCACCATCAAGTTTCCAGTAGTCAGTGTTTCCACCAAGGATCTGTCGTAGTCCTTGGTCTGTGTGTGTGTGGTGCGATTTGTTCTTGTTGTTGTGCTGCTCTCTCTGTAGGTTGAATCACAGCAATGGATTTTCCATTGTCTGTAGTCATTGGGTAGATGTCGAATCCTGTAGGAATGTCGATCTTCTCTGCTCGTAGGTAGAAAAGTCCTGAGTGTCTTATGAGGTGTGCTTGTTGTTGTCCATGTGTGATGGTGCAGTGTCGTGGAGTGAAGTCAAGTCCATATCCTGTATGAAGTAGTCTTGATGCGCTGAGGATTGGATACTTCACATCACAAACGTAGTAGGGTATCATGATCCTGAAGTTGTCCTGCTTGTAGGGAACGTACTTGATGCCGTAGACTGGAATCTTCTTGTTGGTCACCGTGTAGAGTTGCGGAACTGATTCTCCACAGGGTCGTAGTGGAAGATCCGGTGCGTAGTCCTTTGGGCAAACATGTGTAGATGCTCCTGAGTCGATCAACAGGTGGTGGTATGATTTGAAGTTGGAGTACATGATGTAGTGAGTGATAGTGTCCTCAATCTTCTTGTTCCTTTGTTGTTGTCTTGCTGCTGCTATGTCGAAGTGTAGCTTTGTGGTGTCTTCTTGTAGGAATTGTTGAAAGCTCTTGCTGTGGTCGTTCCATGATGTTGTGTGTGTTGTTCTCTTGCCAAGTAGTGATTTGGATTTGTGCTTGTGTAGTCGTGATTTTGCTTGTCTGATGTGTCCAATGGTGAGGTGTGACTCGTTGATGCCTCCAATGTAGTTCGCTGTGTCCTCATAGCTGTTGTCATTCCAATCCCAGCTGTTGTCATAGTCGTAGTCGTTCCAGTTCTCCTCCATGTAGTTCACCTCATGTTGTCCTTCTTCTCCTTCGTAGTACCAGTCCCAAGTGTCGTTCACATCCTGAGGTAGTTCATCATTGTTGTCGTGATCTGCTTGTTCTTGTTCTAGTGGATGTAGTTCTTCTCCTTCTCCTATGTGCCATACCGGCACTCTGCAGTCTTGTGCCCAGTGGCCGGGCTTGCCACATCGATGGCATGTTGTGTAGTTGTTGTTTCCTTTTCCTTTCGATTTGCTGTAGTTTCCTTGGCCTTTGTAGCCTTTGCTTGATCCATATCCTTTGGATCCTGAGTAGCCTTTTCCTTTGCTCTTGTTGTATCCTCCTTTGTTGTAGTTTCCTTTGCTGCCTTTGTCGAATCCTTTGTAGTGTCCTTTACTCCTGTACTTGCCTTTGCTCTTGCTTTCTTTGTAGCCGCCTTTTCCTTTTCCTTTGCCTTTGTAGCTTCTTCCTTTCCTCCATATGTTGTCAACATCCATTGGTGCAGTTCCTCCATTGTAGTTTGTTCCTACTGCTGAAGTAGATCTAGTGAAGGCTGAAATCGTTTTGTAGTAGTCCAGGATGAGTGCTCTGATCTCGATGTAGTTCGTGATCTGTCCAGCTCGCAGTTGGAGGTGTTGCTGCAGTGCTCCTTTGGTTTTGTTGAGTAGTATTGCTATTTTGATTCCATCTGGTAGTGCTGTTCCATTGTCTTTCTCGTAGCGGTTGATGTCGTATTCCCATTGTAGAAATTGTTCTTCAAACTGCGCTTCGTTGAATGTGGGTTCCAGTAGTTTGGTAAGGTAACCAACGCTCCTTGTTCCTACTGGTAGGCAGAACCTGTTGTGCAGTAGTCGTAGTGTTTCACATCCGTTTGCGTTGTAGCGGTTTTGCATTACTACTGTAGCTGCTGCTCCCTGACAGATGTTGATGAGGATGTAGTGTAGATCTCTGGAGAGGTCTACTGCTTTGCTTGCTTGTGTAGGGTCGAGTATGTGTGTTCTGATGTCTGTGTCCTCAATCTGTCGTGTAGCCACTTGTGCTAGTTGTAGCACCAGGTCGAAGTCTCGGTCTATGAGGCCGAGGTATGCTTGTAGCTTGAACAGCCATTCTTCATACTGGGAGTAGTCACCAGTGAAGAAGGGTGGTGGCAGTTTGTATCTATGTAGTCTCTGAACGTCGTTGTCTTGTTCTGTTCCTGCTCCCGTAGTCGTGGCTCCTACTGTGTCTGCTGTTGGCCCGTTCTCTGCTCCTGTAGTTTGTTGTGCTGAGGCTGATGCTGCTTCTCCTGACATGTCGTAGTAGTTTGGCATGTAGCTGCTGTTGCTCTGTTGTTGTAGTACTTACTGCTTACTGGAGCTCCCCTATGTTTAGGATCTCAGCTCCGCTACCACGTTAAAATCGGTGGTTACTTTGCTTACAAGTGCAAGTGCTGTAGTGTTCAAACAAACAGTCAACCAATGTAGTCTGCAGCTGCCAACCTTTTGACTCATGCGGAGTAGTAAGCTCAAGGCCTGCGGTAGTGAACATACATGCAACAAGAGTGCAAAGTGAAGCATGTAGTTTGACATCTCTCTCTCTCTCGCTCTCTCTCTCTCTCTCTCTCTCTCTCTCTCTCTCTCTTGTACCTGTGTTCCAGGCAAGCTCCAGCATTCGCAGCCTGTGTCCTGCACTTCTGTGCGCGTGCCATGCTGGTTTATTTTTGGGAATGTTTGAGCTTCATGCTTGCCAAGAGATAAGCGCGCCAGCTTAAGTGCCTGCCACATGATCAGGACACCCTCTCAAGAGCACCTGCCAAAGCCTGTTTTTCAGCACACGAGAGCTTGCTTTGAACATGTGCGATGTGTCAGACATTGCCCATGTGACCGGTTGGGGGAGGGGGGGGTCGGGTGGATTTCACGTGCGACCACTGCAGCGTAGCAATAGCAGTAGCAGCAGTAGTGGCAGCAGTAGGAGCAGTAGTAGTAGTAGCAGCAATGGTTCATGACTAGAGGAGCTAGGCGGAAGCAGGGTTTGTGCTGTTGCCGGTGGGTGGGTTGGTGGGTTGAGCTTGTGTTAGCGTGAGTGTGGTTGTGCCAACATTGCTCGAAGAACGCCTCGATCCTCATCTCGAAAGTAGCGTCCTTCGGAAGGCTTTCAGGAGGCTTCCGCCCTGCATATCAAAAGGGGGGTTTCAATCAACTGTTTTGTTGGGTTCCGTGTAAATCTGCAGGAGTGTACGCGTGGTTCAGTTGGCCTCCTCTAACAAGGCCTCTTGAATTGCAGCAAAACTGCCCGGAAACTGACCCAACAACTCCTCTTGTCGAACACTGGTTTTTGGTCAGCGTGTTGACGGCTAAAGGGCAAATCCGAGCTGGTAATACTTGATGTTGGGCGAGATTTCCCCTGCACAACCCATGCCCTCATTTTGCCAAGAGCATGGCGCCGCATTGGACCCTACCCGAATTAGGGGAAGGTGTTGGGAGGGGGGAAAGCGAATGGAGTGCAATGCTGCGAAAGGAGCATCGTAGGGCAGGTTGAAGTCCGACTCCACGCCAGGAGGGTAAGGACTGATGACCAGCTCCTGACGAACCCCTCCCTGTGAGTTTCGATGCCTTTTCCATTTCTGGATTCATTCTTGTTAGGAAACGCTATGAAACGCACCAAACAAAACAAGAACAATCACGACAAGGCCCACAGTAGGACGAACTCTGCCAGTCAGCGGCCAGTTTGATCAAGTCAGTTGAGTTTCAATCAAAATCTGGCACCCATGGGGCCTCCCAAAACCATGTAAATTATTAGAAAAACGGCCGCCACCATGTTTGGTAAAGTTAAAACGCCCCCTTAGCCTTCACTCATCAGGATTTTGTCGGCTCAGTTCTAGAAGGAGTGAGCTCCGGAAAAACTAGAGATGTCATCAAAGACCATTCGTATCCTTCTTCTCAAAGTCCACGCTTTTGCAAGTGCCTCGCGGCGCTGCAGTCTCTCACAAACAAGAACAGTGCATAAAGTCTCACTTGTTATTCCTTGAAGGGAACTCCGCCCAACACAAGTCGAGAAAAAAAGGGGCCCGGCACCGGACGCAACAAGCAACCCAAAAACAAACAAGTCACGGGTCGGATGAGGGCCACGCCCGGTTGGAAGCTTACCTGAACAGTTTTCTAATTTCTTCTGGCCATCACACATGACAACTTGTGAAAAGGTCCAAGAAGCTGAAACATGCGGAACGCGGGCCCTTGAGCAATCGAACTGATTCAGAAGGGGAACACGGCGAGATCCTTGAACAGCAAATATTTTCAGGAAGTATTGCCTCACTTGCCCAGGCGTGACGGGAACTCCACGGTGCCCACTTGCTGTTGGTTGATACCAAACAAACACCAACAAAACCAAAATTCCCCATCTTTGAAAAATGCAAGGTCAGGTGCAGATTTCGTGGCAGGCGCCGCACTCTCGCAAGGTCAGGTACGGATTTCGTGGCAAGCGAAGCACTTTCGGAAGATCAACTACAGATTTCTTGGCAGGCGCAGCAGTTTCGCAAGGTCAGGTATAGATGTCGTGGCAGGCGCAGAACTTTCGCAAGGTTAGATATAAATAGAGAGATAGATAGAGAGACAGATAAATAGATAGGTGGATAGATAGATAGATAGAAGGTATATAATAACTACATCAGTATAGCGAGATCGGTAAGAAGTATGATAGATATGTAGGTGTTTATAAAATCTAGAGACCCTCGCCTGAGAGGTGGGGAAAAAAGAAAGCGCGCAGAGCCTGCCGAAGATTTGTGGATCTCTGCGCTAGCCTAGCCACGGCTGCGCACAAAAAAGTTGCGTCCGCCGCTATTGAGCCCACGCGTCAACAGGCGGGAAAGGAAGTCAGGTTCTAGTGACATGATGTTCATTCTCACACGGACCTGCCGAAGGGCACGTTTGCCCGGTGCTCTTTCTTGCAGAAAAGCCGTCTGTTATCTGCGGAGTTTTTCGTAACGCACGAAAGGCGTCTAAGCACAAAAACTCTTTCTTCATTGGGTCCAGCTCCCAAGCATCAAGCTTATCGATTAGCTCTTCCAAAGAGCGCTGGTCAGAGAACCACCGTTCATCAACAGGAGCAACGCTGGTGTCGACATGCTCCTCAGCAACGATGTTGTCAGGCCCCATCGGTGACATAGTGTGGAAGCCTTCTCAAGTAGAGACTGTCGTGGCCCAGTCTTGAAAGGGTTTGAACTTATCCCAAGAGTGCTTGCCAGGAAACCATGGGTTGTCAGCCGTCCGAAAACATGGCATTGATGTCTTAAACTGCTCAACTGAAAACAATCATCGGCCATGTCAGCCCGGAAGTCCGGAAACCCTTGGTGCTCCAAACCAGAAACTTGATATTCGTAGCGGCACTTGTCCGTCTTGGTGCAGATGAAGAAGCTTGAATCTGCCATTTACCTTTCGCCACAGCAAGCTAACAGCAGTGAAACAAGCTTAAACAGCATGGGTTGAGCCAAAGTGCCCTTAGAACAAAAGCAAATATAGATAGACACAGGAATAAGTGCATAAGGTAGTTAGAGAAATGGGTAGATAGAAGGTAGATAGATAGCTAGCTGGATAGAAACAGAGACAGATAATTAGCTCGATAAACAAATAAATAGATAGGTAGAGAGAGAGAGAGATGTAGATAGAGAGATGGATGGATAGAAGGCTAACAGATGGGTAGACAGACAGATAGACAGACAGACAGACAGAGAGAGAGAGAGAGAGACAGAGAGAGAGAGAGAGAGAGAGAGAGAGAGAGAGAGAGAGAGAGAGGGAGGGAGGGAGAAAGGGGGGTAGATAGAGAGATGGATAGATAGAAGGCAGATAGATAGGTAGACAAACAGATAGGTAGATAGATAAATAGATAAATAGAGAGATAGACAGACAGACAGGCAGGCAGATAGATGGAGAGGGAAAGAGAGAAGCGACAGATGGATATGTACATAGTTAGATTGTCAGGCCAATAGACAAAATAGATGAATGGCTCGATAGATAGGTAGATAGGGAGATGGATAGATAAATAGAAGGTCGATAGATAGATAAATAGATTGACAGGTTTTTGCTGGATAGAGGGAGATTAAGAAGGCCATTTGAAAAGCCTGGCCTTTCGAAAAGTCTGGCCCTTCGAAAAGTCCAGCGCAGCACACTCCGCAGCCAGCCCCGCAAAAAGTCCAGCGCAGCACACCTCCACAGCCAGCCCCGCGAAGAGTCCAGCGCAGCACGCTTCGCAGCCAGCCCCGCAAAAAGTCCAGCATTGCACACCCCGCAGCCAGCCCCACGAAAAGTCCAGCGCCACTCCGCAGAGCCCTGCAAAAAGTCCAGCACAGCACACTCCGCAGCCAGCCCCGGTGTAGGCAGTAAAGGAGGAACAGGAGCACAGGAGGCAGAGAAGGAGAAACGGAGGAAAACGAGGAAGGGGATGAGAGGAGGAGGAGGAGGAGGAGGAGGAGGAGGAGGAGGAGGAGAATGAGGAGGAAGTTGGAGGAAGGCAACGCTGAGATAAAATCTATATAGAGACCCTCACCTGGGAGGTGGGGAACAAAGGGTCACCAAACAAGTGGGTGACGAAGCATCCCGCTTCGGAATTGGAAACGGGTTCAGCTGAGCCAGTGCGTGGGAAACACCTTGAACCTTTTGACCCCCTACGACTCTTGAAGATATCCGCCGGCAATTTCATTGAGCCTTGAAGATAGCCGATGGTCGGGTTGGCAGATCTGATGTGCTCCAGGATGGACCGGTACTCCACGGTGCCCACAGAGGCTGCCGCCAACATGGGGGTGAAAATGAAGTAGTTCCGGGGTGACACCACGCACACCTCGACCTTGCTAATGTCCACGATCTTTGCCTCCAGCTAAGCCCACAACTGGAACTCTGATGTGTTGGCCGTTAGCATCCCAGCCCTGGAATCCACCCGCCGAAAGCCCTTGTTTTTTTTCCGGAAGCACTGACACAGAAAAGACATGGGATCCCGCAAAAGCCAAAGTCCGAACAAACACGTGGCTGTAAAACATAACGAAGCTGTAAATGAACATGGAGCCCAAAAGGGGGTCCTGTTGCGTAAAAGTCCTGTTGGGTGGGGCGGGTGTCGGACTGGCAGCACTTTCCAATGCCCAACTTGATAGTACATTACCCGTCTTGTATGCCTCGAAAACACCTGGCTTCCTTTCTTTTGGCGTCCCTTTCCTCGCCAAGATGCCTTTCATGCAATTTTCGGAAGCCTTCATGTTTCTCCCGATGCTTCACACGGTCAGGATCATGTGTCCTGACAAACAAATCATGCTTGGGGAAAGGGAACGGAAAGCGTGAAGACCACTCCGCGGATGTCTGCCCTGGCCAAATTCCAAACATGTAACAGGGCAGTGATGAATGCGTCATCTGACCGGTCCCCGCCCAAACCAGGCGTGCTTCTGCATACAATTCAAGGCGCCCACAAAGGGCAAATGTATCCTGCAAATCCCTCTTTTGCGGCCCGGTATCCCCGTGCCATGAGCAGGTCTTTATTTTGCAGGCCCAATCGCCAAGAAAAATCAATACCCTAAAAGGACCCTAATTTACTTGCTTGGTATCCAGGCGACATGCTACGCAGAACATGAACCCACACAAATGTGCACAAAGTGAGGTACGCATATCCAGCGATTTCCGGGGGTGGAGATTCTGCCCGGAGCGCGATGGCATGTGCGGCCCATCCAGTGCCCAGCACCACCACCCGGCGCTTGCGTGTGCCACCCGCGTCTTCAGGCACGGTCTTCTCTCCAGGGAGCCATGCAGGCAGCCGGCTGAGGTGGAGGAGGGCGTCCTGTCGGAGCCACGAACATGGACAAATGAGCATGGTGATACTTTATCATTTTACAAGCCCAAACCCCCAGTCCTTTCTTTGGTAGTTGCTTCTTAACGGGAACCTCCGCCAACACAAAGCAAAAAAGGCCACCACGGGGGAAAGGGGGCCTGGGCATCTTAGTATCTCAATAAAGAACAAATTATCCTCAGCCATGGCCACGAACCCCTAAACCCGTTACATGTTTGGAAAGCGGCGGGCAACTTGTTTGTTCGCGTTCTGGGTCCAGAAAAGCAGCTGAGCTGCCGGGTCGGTGGGGAATTTGCGACTAAGCAACCGTTTGAAACCGTTTGCATTTGTCCATTAGGGAAACCTGCATGACATGTCGGGGTGAATTGAACAATCATCCGTCCCCCTTTTGTTTTGTACAATTGGCGGTGCACCCGAGCGCCTCCGCCGTGTTGGTCACCTCTTCGATTGCTGTGGCCACGTCCTCCGCCAACGACCTCCGACGGTGCTTCGCCTTCGCCGCCTTCGCCCGCGCGAAGGACGCGGCCGCCAGGCCCGCGAGGCCCGCGAGGCTCGCGTCTTGAGACCTGGGCGCCAGATCTGTCGGCCCTGGGCCCAGGCGCTGCACCTGGCAGGCTGAAACGGGCGTGTTGTTTGGAGGGTACCCGTTTGGGGTTGGTTTCGAGGTAAGCCAAAAGGAAACCAATCATTTTGGGGGTCCATGCTCAAATGGGTCCAAGTGACATGGTGGGAAACATGCCTGCAATACCAAGATAAGCCATCTCTGCGAAAACTTTGTTACTTTGGAGGGATTCCAAAAAACATGCGCTAAAACCCATGCGTGACATCCTCAAAATTGGGTCTGAGCTAGCCCTGCATCATGGCCTTCGAATGTGGGCGTTTCTAACTATGGGACAATTGTAATCATCCACCAATCCAAAAGAAGGGTCCCTAAAGGACCTTCATGGGTGAGGTCGCACACCCGCGATGCGCTCAGAAAATAAGGAGCCAATTAAAGCCTGGTTGGTTTCGATTTGGCTTCCCTTGAATGCCCTTTTGGACACCCCTCATGAGGGGTGCGGCCAACCAACTGGCAAGCCTTTGTCAAGACACTGTCAGCCTTTGTTTCCCTTTCATTTCCTCTTTACCTTATGAAGAAGCCAATATCTTCAAACGGGTGGCTTCCCCTTTGGTTCCCCGTCCGCTTTGGCAACCCCCCCCCCCCCCCAAAAGAAAAATGCAATGACACAATGTGCCATGCTCAAAGCTTTGCTAGCAGTGTCCCGGCCTAAAGAACTTGACGCATTTGGGGGAATGGAGGAATGGATGTCGTCTTTCCTGGAGCTGGAAGAAAGCCAAATTGAACAGGGAAGCCCATCTCGAACCGACCTCCCCTACTTTCGGACGTCCAGAAATCTGTGCAGAACCCAACATCAACCCAACAAACATGTGTGCTGTGAAAGGCTGAAAGCGCATGCACACGCACGCCTGCAGGCTTCTCAAGGAGAGCCCATTGCCCTTTGGGTGCAAAGCGACCGGCACCTCCATAGCAAAGGCCCACGGTGCACTGAGCCACAGATCAGCGATTTGAATACCTCGAGCCTTGAGTTCGTTTTGTGTTCAAACGGCATGACACCAAAAAGGCATTGGAAAGTGTGAGAATAGAGTGAATAGAGCAGGCCCCTTTGCCTCCCCAATGCCAACCATGAAGCATCATGATCCCAGAATCCCCCCCGCCCCCGCCCCGAATCTTCCCTCCCCCTTTCCCCCACATAAGACTCTAACTTATGGCCCCAAGGGCCCCAAAGGGTTAAACATGATCGGCCAAAAGCGACTTTGAGTGCAACTGGGAAGGTTGGACTATTACACCCACGACTCTGTTGTGGTTCTGGGAAGCCTACTTCATGGAGTTGCCCAGCCCAGGAAGAGAGAGGACGCCCCGTTCTTCGAACGCCAAACCCGAATCAGCACTGTTAACTTAGGATTGTCAAAGAAATTGTATTAGTCCTGGCAAATCCCACAGTACTATGTAGTATAGCTATTTAAATCAGCATCTCAAAAGGAAGCTCCAGCAATACTAAGCCCAACGGAAACTCAATTCCAAGAATACACAATCAAGTACATGAAAGCTCAAATCAAATTCGAAAGGAAGCTCCAGCAATACTAGATCACATGGAAAGTCGTCAAATGCCAAAGTACTACTAGCATAGAAAGTCAAATTCCACAGTACAGTACCAAATCAAACGGATTCTCAAATCAACATCTCAAAAGGAAGCTCAGCAATACTCAGTCAAATGGAAACATGGACCGACTCTCCTGCTGGAATTCTTCTGGAGCTCTGGAATCCTCATTCCCAATTCACAAGTAGTATTGCCCAACACCAGTGCAGGGGAGGGGGGTGATTCATCCGATGTCAACATCAAGTGGGGTGCACTGGGCTGCAGTGCATCGTCAATCGCTTGAGTTTCCGCCTCCAGGACCCTTACTCGCAGCTGAGATTGAAAAGGTGGCCAGGATGGCCGCTCCCGGCTCCCAAACTATGCAATGGATTTGCTGAACATAGGGTCCACGAACGCAACGCCATCTGAAGCGTTCAAATCACCAAAATAAGTTTGACCATCAAAGAAGCCATTCCGGCAGGCTGAAGCTTCGCAGTTGGGCGGATTCTTTTCAGGGTTAGGGACCAAAAGCAAAACGCAAGCTTGAACGCCAAAGCTTCGAAATCCGCAGGACATTTGCAAGGCCGGTTGCTCAACCACCTCTTTTAATCGCCGTGACTGACGCAGCACACTCAGCTAGGTCACTCCGCCTCCACTTTCGAGAAGCTTTGCCTTTGCCCACATAACCGTATCCAACCGCACTACCAGCCCAAATGAAATCCACATGTAGGAGACCTGAAGTGAAGAGTCTTCAATATGGTGTTGAGTCTGTGTTTGTCGTGCTTAGACTGGATTTTTCGAATGCTCCAGAACTATGAGCTTGATACTTTCACGGGCTGAAACGCGGCAGACTGGTCACTCAGCTTTGATCTGTTGCCCTGGAAGTCAAGAACCATAAACAGCAAGGTTCGCTGTAGAGCGTAGTCTTCCCTGAGGACAAGGCTCGTTGATCTCCAGGGTCGCCACTTTGAGCTAGAGCGAAAACTGATCCTCTTCGAGGATTCCGCTGGAGTCGCTGGAGTTGGTTTCCCTCTTGCAATGGGCCTTGCCATACCAACTCCCCTGTGAGCAAATATATTCAAAATGCTTTCAAGTTCCGTGGTGCTGAAGCTGGGGGGGAGGGGTTCTCTTTTGGACGGTGCACTGGACCGTAAACGGGCATGCAGCGTTTCAAGAGGTTCGAGTGTTGTTTACTTTTCAAGGCGTGCACACCTCTCCAGCGTTCTCATCAGGCCACACTAAGATTGCGCTTTTCCTAAAGGATGAGAGCAGGGCCGTCAGAGCTGGTGGTTGCTGCTGGCTCTTTTTTGGTCAGGGTTGGGCGCTTCAACTTGCTTAAGCATGCGAACGACAAGAACGCATATTTTCTGCATCGGTTGATGTTGTTTAAGCCTACTTCCAGTTTCCCTTTCAAAGGCATCAAAGGCCCAGGGGTTGGAGTTGCCAATTTAGCCCAACCCTGTCTTCCGAATTTCCGGTGCCCCGCCTCATGAGGTACGGTAGGCAGATCCCAGAACACAGCAGGCTGATTCACAAGCCGGTCAAGGTAGGCAAATTTTCGCCAATCCGGCCATGCGACAAGGGCTGCTATTGCCATTTCTCAACACCTCCCTTTGCTAACTTGACTGGGGACCCTTGTCTCATGCCGACATGACCTGTATAGGCTTGAAAGGAAAAAGCACGCACCTTGAGTGCATCTCGTCGCGAAAGGGGTGAGACACAATTTTCATCAATGGATGGCAGGCAACCCTGTTTCAGTCTGCAAGAGAGGTGCCCAAACAAGCCTGTCAGGCCGTCTCCAAACTGAACTTTTGGCACAAGCTCCGCAAGCGCAAGTGATCAGATCGATCACCCGGATGTTTCATTAAAACATTAGCCAATCAGGCTTTCCTATCTCCACCGACAGGGCAATGACCAGGAACCTCAGCCGATTCCAAAGCTCAAAAACCAAAGGCTCAAACATTCGGCCGCGTTGATGCAGGCCGTGTACGTCAGGCCCGACTGCAGATCGCAGTCCAGCATCACCGTCTTGCTTGAACATAAGCTCCGCGGACCAATCCGCATCTTTTTCACGGGCCAAACGAGTTTCTTAAGCTGACTTCCGCAGTACATGGTATGTTTTTAAATGCATTTTTATCGTTTGCTTCCGCGTCCGTCCGCAGCTTGCGCTTTACAAGCTTCAGCTTGCTTGCGTATTGGCGCAGAAAGGTATGCAAATCAAACCACAAAGCTTCCGAGAACCTGCTGCGAAGAGCTTTCGCTAAACCTTCAGCATGCTTCCACGCGCTTGGCGCGGTGCACACGTTGAATCGTTGAATGATAATGTGCCCTCCCGCATGCCAAAAGCAACGCTCAACGCTGCAAGAGCGCAAAGTGCAAAGACAGGGCCACATGCACGCGCAAACACACACACAACACAAACAAAACACATAATTACTTACAAATCCGCACACCCACCCATATACACGCACACGCCCAAAACCACACCCACACACATGCGCGCACACGCGCAAGCTCAAAAACACACATGCCAGCGCACGCACATGCGTACACCCACGCACATGTGTGTGAGTTTGTGTGTTTTGTACGTGAAGAGGTGCCTCATGTGATGTACAATGTCTACCCACTACGCTACAACCGAATCCTGCTGCAATTTTGAGTTGTTCCCAAAACGAGTTGATTCATGGTGAGCTCGGTTCGTCCCCTTGCTATTTGCTATAAAATAGGCAGATCCGTGTCTTTCCGGCAAAAGGCCTCCCCAGACTCCGAGGGAGTTTGCCACCGGATCTGAGGCCCCAGCACCGCATACCTCAGGCCGCAAGCATCAGGCTTCGCTTCAAAACTTCGAGTGGCCTTTGTCCGCGGTCGTAGGTTTTTATTGAAACCCGAATGGGTGTGTTGGGTATGCGTCAAAACCACAACTTTCAGCACGGTTCTTGGAGTGATGACTCGAAGCGGGGAGAGGTTTACAGACGCTTCCTCATGACCAAGCAACTACATCAAGCACACATTTTTCTGGTCCCCTTTGAAGCAGGATATCCAAACAAGTCAGCTGCACTCTTTTGCCCACCCTGCGCTTTGGAGGGTTGTGGAGGGAAAGCACAAACACCATCAGCATGCAAAGGGGCTCCCACCGGAGGAACCAGGGAAAACAAGCCACCACACAAGGCGAACCCACTGCCAGCACAAAGAGCATACAACGGGAAACCTGAAGCAAGCCAAGCATATTCAATGTTCAGTCGAAACCAACCCTTGCAACCTCAAGTGTGATTTCCAAAGGGAAACAAACAGCATACCTCGTTTAGCTTGGCAAGCCGTGAGAGAAAGCACCGGATATCCTCGAGTTTCCCATTGCCAGCACCTCGAAGCAAGGGGAGGGGTCCAACGATTGAGGCGGACAATGACCTTCATAGAAACAACTTCAAACCCGTCTGGGTGGATTACACTTTTAGGGAACTCACCAAAAAAAAGAAGAGTAGGTCTTGTCCACCCCTAAATCGCTTTGTATTTTTCTCACCTCACAGCGTTTTTCAAACCCACACCGACTCCGAAGGTTTGACTTCGTCGGGGCACAGCACCGCCATGCACAGGCCCAGCATGCGGTTCAGCTTCCAGCCCAGGCAGTGGATGCAAAGCACCACTGCAAGCACCATGAACAGGAGCCTTGGGGAAAATCACTTGCGACCGTTGGACTTCTCTCTGGTTCAAATATCCAGGTCACAAGGTCCAACACGTGCGCTCAGGATCCTTCCCACAACATTATGTGTATCACGGCAAGGCCTGAAACTGTCCACACGTTGAGATGCCAGCCCTGGAATTTCGCGGCCTATAAATTCGCGTTGGGGGAAGGGGGGAAGGACGCCCATGGAATGGCCAGCTCAACTTTCATGAGTTCATGTTGGCAATTTTGAGAGGGTGTATTCGGCGTGCCTCTCAAGTGCTTCCCAAAGAACCGGATCCCCTCAAATGGTGTTCAAGATGATTTCAACACAACTCTTTGTCACGCCCACACCTGTCCCGAACCGCCACAAGTTGCCTGTCAACCAAAGCGGAGAATAAATCAGCAGATTTCCATGCCTTGCAGGCTGTTTGGGTTCACAAATGGCTCACACAGCTTGGGTATGCATCTGGGCGCAGGATGACGTCGAAGGCCAAATAGGGTGACTTGATGGTGACCTGCGGGCAACGCCCGGTTGTTCAGCGACCCTGGTTGCAAAAAGAAGTGTTGACCAGTGTTAGTGGGGAAGCCACCAAGGGTGTCACACTGAACAACTGGGAACATGTTGAACATGCGACGCATCTGATGTATCGCATCTGCCACGGGCAAATTCTCTGGCCTGGTAGTCAGCGCCGTGCAAGGCGATCTTGATTATCCAGGGGATCGGGAGGCCAACGAGGATATCGAAAATGTTGGATCCCACTGATGAGGACCTCATGCACCGGACCCTTTCAAGAGTGCCTAGGCCAACTTCGAGCTAGTGAAAGTGAAAGCCTGGGCTTTTTGGGGCTACCATCGCATGGCCCCTTTGAGTACACACGCCAGTTTACAAGTCTTATTTTTCTGGACCTCTAGAACCTCTAACGGTTGGGGAGCTCGCCGAAGCTCTTGCAATTACAATGGCTAACGTTCTTCAACTCTGCGCTCAGCAGGTAAACTGACCCCCCCCCGGTAGCTTGGCTGGGCTTCCGTCAGGGAGGTCTGTAGCAAAGAGAAGTAGGCTTAAATTGGTTTATCCAAGCTCAAAATTAGGCGTGGGCAGACCTAAACAGCTTGAAACGGCATATCTTTTCAATGGATGCACGGGCTAAGAAGCCGAAGAAGTGAACAGCAACCAGCTGTAAAATCGCACCGCATGGTCCATGCTTAGCGAACCTTAGCATACAAAGCACATCAAACCAAATCTCAGTAATCCCTTCGCCACCGAAGGATCCAAGTGTGGTTTGCAATTGAATAGGCCACATGCTCAACGGCGCAGATGCAAACAGCCCTGCTCCTAAACTGGCAATTCTGAATATCCCTCGCCAAGTCGAAAAAGTACCCTAACCACTTAGCAAAGAACCAGTCCAACCCTTCGCGGGCCAGCCTACATAATTAGACTGTGTGTGGTTGCCTTTGGGCTGCCTGAGCCCTCGGCACTGCCATGTCTCCCTGACCGTCCTTGGTCACTGCCACGGAAGAGGCAGCATCCGGAATGGACGTTCCAGCCTCGGCCAAAACTGTCCTGTACAGCTGGGATTTCGGGTTCTTAGAGTTGCTTTTTGGCTATTTAGGTGGCTTTCCATTAAATCACAACGGGGGCCTTGGGAGCTCTGGGCTGGAGCATGCTCTCCTTTCGCAGCTCAAAACTGAAGGTGTTCCGGGGACAGCAGTGAAATGACACTGGCCTACCCTTGAAAGGATCACAAACTGGTCTTGATACAGAAAACATTACAAAACCTTCGCATTAATCTGCAGTCAAGAACTGGCCGTGAAACCAGTGTTTCAACCAGCACTGCAAGCATAAAGAGTTAAGAAGCAGAAGGGGGGCCTTGGAAGCTCTGGACTGGAGACATCGGCGCGCTCTCCTTTCACACCCGGTGACTCCTCAACAAAACAAAACGGTTGAAGGCCACTGCCGCGGTCTCTAACTAAAACACCCTGCTGCATAGACGGCAGCCGCGAAGACGCGAGGGTAGTCCGCAGCAACTGCGTGTCCCCATTACTCGTATGGCAAGTCATCTGCGCGAATCCAAACAACCAAGGCAGTGCAGCCTCGGCAGCCTCGTTGTCCCACGCTCCCTGCTCACACAAAGCGACACTTGAAGTTGCGGGAGTTGTCAATCACGCACTTCTTTCCGTCTGGTTGGATGCAGAAAATGCTAACCCAAGTCCGCATGAATCCATTCCTTGCTGCGAAATGAGCTCAGGCCCTTTGGAGTTTGTATACCTGCTGCGAAGCCATGTGGCAGTTCGGCTTCGGTGTGGAGGCACGGCGCTGCCGTCGACAAAGGGAACCACAGCATCTGCCGAGAGGACTGGCATGTGCGCAGTGTGAGGCGTGACAGCCGCAGAACACCGGCGCGGCAACGTGCATGCCAGCACGCAAGCACAGTTAGCTCATCCTTTTGTGAAAGCCAGGCCACACTGCCTGCCCCAAAGCTTATGCAAAAGCAAAGGGCCGCCCTTGTCAAACTAACTCCTTGACAAGTTGACGGCCTCATGGTCTTTTCTTTTCCTTTTTTTTCTGCTTCCTCCCTGTTGTTTGTTTCCTTTTCTGCCCAGTTCCCTTGCTAAGGTGCGGACTGAGGTGCATTCTGACGGGGCGTGCACGCCTTTTCTTTCGTTTTTCGCCGTCTCCGCCGACGTCAGTTGCCAGTGACCCCCTTCGAGAGTTTCAAGCAGGGTTTCCAGCTGGAGCTTCCGCCTCTTGGCCATTTCTTTTCGCGGGTGTTGTTTCGTCGTTTTCGCTTTCTTTTGTTGTTGCTGTTGCTGTTGTTGCTGTGGGATGGCCATGACGCTTGCGGAGCCATCTCCCTGGCCTGAACTCCAGTGGGTAAACTGGTGCGAGAGATGCTGCCAGGTGTTTGGCTTTGGCGTTGTTTCGCGCCAAAGGCCGTGTCTGTCTGTCTGTCTGTCTGTCTGCCTGCCTGTCTGTCTGTCATCAAGTTTCTCTCACCACATCCATCTCAGCTGCCAAAGCTTCAGGGTCACACAAGGCAGTGGGCACATCCAAGCCTTCCAGTGCCTCGCCTGACCCCGCCGCCTCAGCCCTCAGCCTCTACCACACCGTCATTCACCTCCTTGCCCTTGCCCTCCTTGACCTTCTTCTTCAGCTTCGGCGTAGCCAAGCCAGGGAGCAAACCGCAAGTCCGAATGGCTCCCACCCCTGCACACCCGCTCACGCTCACGCGCATAGAGCTGCATGTACGTTGGCACATGATAAGCACACCCGCTCACGCGCGTCACGTCAGAGCAGCGCACACGCTGGCACATGATAAGCGCAACCGCTAACCGCTATGTGCGCTGACCTGGCCCAACACTGCACATGTTGACCTGAGATTTGACCGGCCTGAGTTAGTTACCGGGATGTTCCACCACCCCAGCGAACTAAAGGGACAAGAAAGTCTAAGGGGCCGTTCACCGCAAGCATGAAGAGCTAAAACGTAGGAGGACGTCCCTTTAATGGACCCAGCAACGCACAGCAAAAACCACCATGAAGGGACCCACTACTTGACTTTGGATCGCCCTTCCTCAACTGAATGTCCGTGAATGTTCTTGCAAAAGCTGGGGGCTTCACTGGAAGGTACAAAGCGCCAACCAAATCTGAATGGAGCTGGGCGCTTTCCCAACCAAATTAAGTCATGATAGGTGACAATGCCCAAAAGGCCATGATTTGAGTCGCCTTTGCTCCGAGCTGCGGCCAGGAGGGTAAAAGCCATGACGATGGGATCGATGTGCAGCGCTTGGCCTAAAACGTCCACCTTGGTGGGAAAAACACACACTCTGAAGGCCTGTTCCTGGACATGAACATGAACCGAAATGAAGCACTCTTTCACACAAGTGGCAAATCCTCTTGTGAAGCCCAAGTTGATTCTGACTCAATGTACTTTGTTTCTTGGATTCCCCCTCCCCGGCCCCAAAATCAAGCCACAAAGGCTGTACGTGAGCAACGCCCTGGTCAAATGCCGGGCCCCGCACCCACCACACCAGTACGAAAGTCAGCCCGGCGATCCAGACCTCGTTGGCTTTGGGGGATTCTTTGGGAGCTCAAAGGGAAATCCGGTTGGGAAAAGCCCATAGGGTGACACCTCACATGAGTGCAGAGGTTCTTCGCGGCATTGGTTCTTGGATGTTCTTGGGTTTCCTCTAACCCGTTGAGAGTCACTTGAATGCAGTGGAGCATCGAGCTTGGCTGGGAGATGCCTCCCACCACCATGGTTTGGCACAAAGAAGCCCGTCTTTCGCTTCCAGGCTTTGGAGAGCAAGGTCCCCCACTCCCCCAAACATACGGTGGAGGGGCGACATCCTGCGCCAGTTGGTAGTTGGAATTGCTCATAGGGTTCCATCCATCCCAAGAGCGGAATCTTCGTCCCTCCACTGTAGCACCTGCCGGCTACCTGGAAGATCAAGCTTCTCAAGAAGAACCCCTGTCAAGTGCAGTTTGAGTGAATTTGCCAAGCAACCAATATGTGGGTGAGTAAAGGCTTGTATGGGTCTGATGATAATCTCAATGAAGCCAGAAAGTAGAACTACTTGCTGCAGCCTTTTGAATGCTGCTTAAATGGCCTGGAACGGCCAGGTGTGTGGGCGACTGGCCATTGGTAGATCAAAAGCCGCAACAGCAATTCACATTGGTGTTTCATGCTGTCTGGCAACCCCCTTTTGATTGGTTTAAGTTTGCATCACTGGTGCGTTTCAGGCGGAAGCTATGACCACCCAACTGGTTGTGATCGATTTCGCGTGCTTTGAACCTGGGTGCCTCTGCAACAAATTAGACATCCCATTAATCATCATAGGCAGTTTAAGCGAGGCGGAACCTTGGAACTGGTCCAACTGTTTTTCACAATTCTCAAAGTCACGGTTTGAAGTGAAACTGATTTTGGCCTACCCAACTTTACGTTTTTTCCAACAAATCCGGACATCAACAGACCCCTCGTGTGGATTGTGGTTCGTCTGCCTGCAATCGGACTCTTCAGCCCCCACCCCCCAAAGATTCCAGAGCAGCGCCCATCTGCTTGCCACGCTGCCAGGGAGAATGCAAAGGACACCAAGAAGAGCCTTTCCTAAGTGGAAAAACACACACACACACACACACACCAATTTACATGCGTCTTTCTAGGTGGGCAATCATGAACCCCCGCCCCGCCCCAAATGCAAAAACAGAACAGCAATGGCTTGATTGGACAAGTCCGGATGCAAGGGGGCAAGGAATTGTTGACCCGCTCTGACCTTTTGGTCTAACCTTAGTTGCGCATCATATGGTTGCTGGTTAGGGATTTTTCCGAGCTCCAGAAACAAGAGCTTTCAGTTTCAAAGGGCAACCAAGTTCCTCTCCAATCCACCGCTCCGCATGCAGACTGCATGCAAGTTGAGCTGCCAGCTAGCAACCGCAAACATCCTCAGCTCAAAACACTAGCACCCCGGCTGAACCATCAATTGCACACTCCATCACTTGCTGTGGTCTCAAAATGGGGAGCCCTCCAGAACTCCGAGCCAAGAGTCTCCATCTAAATGGTGGTTCAACAGGGAAACTTGAAACCACGCCCACAAGAAATTCTGAGAACCTCAAGATGTAACCACTCTAATGGACTGAGTGACTGACTTCCTCCCCCATCTTCGCATCTTTCGGGCAAGTGGCAGATGGCTGAGGAGTGAGGCAGTAAATGGGCACATAGACGGGCAAGGATATGCACCAAATCACGAAGTCTTTCCTGAGACAGCGGGCAAATCTGGGCTTGTCCTGCGGAAACCCTCAGGATGCTTGCAGCATGCATCATCCCCAAGCTTGATCACCCAGAGTTGAACGTAATTCCGTAGTAATTCCCCAGTTCCCCATTTGCAGCATATCAGTGTCAACTTGGGGAACATCCATCTCATTTAGTGGTTTCCCTTACAGAAATATATAACTCAACATGTTGGGTTATTTAGCTACCTGAACTATACCTGAAACCGCGGGTGGTTGTACATACCTTGGGCAAATGGCCCCAAGCAACCTGGTGTTGATCATACCTGCAAGGGCATGGCAATTTAAGTGGGCTGAGCAACCCAAGGAGTATGCACTTTCACTCTTAAAAAAGACTGTCTGAATGTGTCCAAGCAGCCAGCCCTCGGGCACGTCCATAAGTCCTGGCTCGTCATCTTCCGCTGCCGATTTCTTTGAATCGTCCTTGTCCTCATCCTCCTTGTGCAGCCAAGTAAATCCGTGAGACGCACCCCTGCTACCCCCCGACAAACTGCCGCTGCAAAGCACCCCGAACCTTTGGAAGGCTGCAGAATTGTGGGGGGTGGGGGGCTTTCTGAGCGGCGTGGGGCCCCCGGAGCCGAGCAAACCTGCTGAGTTGGCTATGGCCAACCTCATTTCAGGGATCCTACAAACCACGCCCAACAAGGCGCCATGGGCCAGAAAAGGCCCAGGGTGACATCAGGCTGCGACTCTGGGCAAAGGGCAAGGATCAAACCAACGCGCAACCAAGTGAGGGAAAACCCACCATCCTCCTCCTTGACAGCGGGCGGCTCTTCACCCTCAGTCGGATCGTCCCTACGCACACATTTTGCCCTAGAGGTGTTGAGAGGGTCACGGGGAAAGACGCAATGGTGATTTTAAAAGGGATCAACAGGTCCGCAGATCGAGTTCGAACCTGCCCCCGCCCGCTACCGTCTGTCCCAATCATGGAAGTGGGCAGGCCGGTTCTGCAAGAGGGAACCAGGCTTCCAAAACCCTCCTGTCAGCTTCCATGATTGGACAGAGGGTAACAGCGCCCCCATGTTGGGAAACCAAATATGTTGTCAATGATCCAAATTCAATCATCCACTATCAGTGGGCGGGTATAGGTTAAACAAAACAAAAATCCGTATAATGTACATGTGGCATTTGTTGCTGTTGGGTCTGCTTGGCCGGCATTCCCCTGTTGATGCTGCCCCTTCGGAGGTACACATCATTTGGCACGGATTGCTTGGCTTCACATCGCCTACTACTGTCAATGCTGCTTCTCACAACTGACTTGTCATCCGGCGCTTCAATAAAAACCCGAAAGCTCAATTTGAATAATTGAAACAAATGGCAGCACCCCTGCAAACCACTGAAGAGTTCAAGAAACCTGAAACAACCTGGATGTTTGAATTCGACTGCCACTGAGGCCCACTCGTCTGAATTTCCCTCCTGAAAACATGTCCAATGTGCTGGTCCTTCTTGTCGATACGGATCTCATTCATGTCATTGTCATTTCAGCTGAGAGGCCGAGGATTGCTTTGACCCGCCCCGCTCTGCTGGGGACACCTGATGCGGAATAGGTGTGTGGGCAAGGGCAAGGGTAAGGCTGTTTAAGTGTAGTGACTGTGTGTGTGCGTGTGTTTGTGTGGGCGGGCAGGTGAGCGGTCGGAGGAGAAGGTATGCCGGTGGAGGTGTATATATATATATATATATTAGTGGCACGATTTGTCGGTTGGGGCATTTACGTACGTTCAAATGTGCTTGTGCAAGGGGGGGACACCGTGCGCCTGACCATCCGCGACCAACTTGCGGATTGCAACAAATTGAAAGAGTGGAGGGAAATTCCATCACTCAATGCTTGATTGCAGCCCGAGTTCACAACCCAGCCTTTTCTTGAACAACCAAGAGCCAAGAACCAAGAACCAAGAACAACAACCACCACAAGCACCAACGACTACGGGAGCGACAACCACACACTCTCTCTCTCTCTCACACACACACCCACCCACCCACCCACCCACCCACGCACGCACGCACGCACGCACGCACGCACAACACCACCACCACCGCCGCCACTGTCAGCACCAGCGCCACCATAGGCTCAGGTTTCAGCACCTGGCATCGACGACCTGTGCGGCACTGAGAAACATTTGTGCGGCCTGTACCAGCTCGAGCTCTCTCAGGTTCCTTGCAGCCCAGTTGCAACAGTGACCCTGGTAGAAAATGGGACCTTTTGGGGTCGTCCATTTTCAGTGGTGAACCCACCAAACAAAAAGGAGGAACGCGGCAAAAAAGAAGCGCGCGCCTCCTGCGACTCCGACCCTGATCGCCGGCTCACAGAATTCATCCGCTCCTGCAAGCGTGTGAAGCGCTTCCAACCCCATCCAGAGACAAAAATAAATGCAGACTTAGACGCGCAGACACAAACACGCACAAAGACATACGCCCACAAACAGCCCCCCCCCCAAACACTTTGGAATATAGGAGAATCACAGAGGTCATACGCCAGGTACGTCACTGAGCGTCCCCAGTGATATCACCAGCACGCATCCGGTGTCTTCGTTGGTGCAAGACCGGGTGGGCTGCTTGCGCCCCCTGATGTAAAAAATGAAGAAGTGGCGGTGAGGCCTTCCATCCATGAACTAAAGTTACTCACTGAGATCTTTGATCTCAAACCATTTGGTCTTGACAGTTTCGGCAGGTTTGTTCAAGATCCGGCCAAGCGCCTTGTAGCTGGGTCATCCCTAGGTGTAGCCGAGGATGACGAGTCCGAAGTGTCCAGATTGCCGCCCTCGGTGAAGTCGGAGGTTGGTGCATCATCAGGTGATATGTGATCCGGAGGGTGTTGATCCGGAGCATCAGGATGAGGTATGCATTTGGGTGTAGGAGAGGTCTGGCTTAGTTGGCCCGTGCTGATTGTGGTGGTGTTAGTGGTCGTCTCATGCGCAGGAGGCTCAAGTGGCGTAGAGGTCAGCTGGTCGGTGGTCAGGTTGACGGTCATGCCGGCTGGTGCTGTGGGAGGGTGATGAGTGAAGGGGTTGGAGTCGTCAAAACTGTCAGTGGTGGAAGACTTGCACGGTACGTGAGGATGGGTGGAGCAGGTTGGTTGGGCGTGATGGTCACTGGTGCGCTTGTGGGTCCGAACGGCTGTTGGCGTGGAAGGCATTGCTGACGTGGTAGTCTGCGTCAAGAGCTCAGTACAAGCGACAATGCCGTCGTGGGTGGGATTGCCGGGCATCGCAGCGAGATCCGCGGCTGGCGCTTTCATTGCCCAGTAGCTCGGGCGCCACAGAAAGCATGTCGCGGGTCTGAGTTAGGAGATCACGTAGCTCCGTTGCCACGCTGGGGTGAAGCAGCGTTGGTAGCTATAGAAGGCTGCAAACCCCCAAGCAAGCAAAGTGAAACATGAAAAACTACAAAAGCCAAGCAGCTTTTTGTCGAAAGAAATGTGTCTAGTCGCGGCGAACCCCAGAAGATCAGAAGAAGCCGAAGCTTGATGCCATAGAGCTCGAAGTTGGCATAGAGCGGCGTCAGCTTCACGGGCTGGGAACGCCAGTGTTTTGGCAAGGTGTCTACGTCAAGGAAGACGCGGAAGCCGGATGCAATGACGTAGGAGGCTTGTATTCGATGCATAGATTCTCCATGTTGATGCGGAAGCCGAAGAAGTCGCGTCCTGGTTCGTCTGCGAGTGAGATGGTGTCAATGTAGAAGCCGGAGCTGAGGTAGACGCGGAAAGGGGTAGTAGTGGCACGTGGTGCTGCAAGCATATGAGCCGGTTGTCCACGTAGCGACAGGAGAACCACAAGTGTTGGTGGTTGTGGAGCATCTCTGCATACGTGTGGTGCCAGGATTCTTCCACTGCGGCGACGACAAGCAAACACATGGCCGGGCTGGCCGGGTTGCACATGGGCGAACCTCGTTGTTGAACGCAAAGGCAAGCGCGGATCATGAAATAGCGCCGGGACAAAATCGTTCGGAACGTGTGTGCGGCGTCGTCGGCCACGGAAGAGGCGAAGGTTCTGCTGAGTCTCTGCCACGTTGACGGAGAACCATGGGGAGTGACCTGGGTTGTTGGTGATGGACTGGAATCGATCATCAGTGATGGAGGTGAAGAAACTCTCTAGGTCATGGTTGTAGAGGAGAAAGTGCGAAGTATCAGAATGTTGCCTGAAGAAATGTTGGATCAATTTTAGCAACTGCCACACGTCGCGGTGCTGTAGGGATCGTGGGAAGGCGACAGGTACGAGTTGGTGAATGAGGAACGCAATGGCGGCGAACAGTTTTCTGGCAAAGCATTGGGCGAAGGAAATGATTGGCCGACCGGTAGTGAAGCCTTTTTCCGCTTAGGGAGAATGTGTGCCGTTGGTACTTTGCCGTAGTCTCTGGTTGCCCAGTTGTACCTTGGCGGATGTTGTGGACTTTGGAGTCGTGATGTTGTAAGGGATTGCAGTCTGCGATTTCCTTGAAGACGTCGGAGTTGCACCACGTGTTGGTCAGCGTCTGATGATAGATGACTGGGCAGTACGCCATGGGTCGGTGTGATGAGTGGTCCTTTGATTGCCAAATCACGCCCTCGGTCTGATCTCTGATGGCATGGAGGGCTTCGATGGAGAAAATGGGCTTGCCTATTTGTAGGTCTGCTTGCCGGTGATGTAGCGCCCGTTGACGGAGCCAATCGTGGTGAACGCGAGGTAGAAGATGCATGTGGAGTGGTCCATCTGTTAACGGCGGCGGTGAACTCAGCAACGTTTTTGCTGCTGCCGCCTGCGATGATGTGAAGGTGGGGAGGGAGTGTGAGAGCAGCTCCCGGACAAGCAACATGTCCGAGAAAAAGGTGGTCGTGGTCGTGACCGAGCAGGTTGTGCCATCTAGTGCAGGTGCAAATAGGTGGCGTGCCCTGCGCCCACTGGTTTTGGGCAGCGCGAAATTTGAGACTTCTTTTTCAGCGACGTGGCAGTTTTTGTGGTGGACAATCTTGAAGGAAGGCACCGAGTGTAAAGGCACCGCGTTGGGAAACTGCCGGCTGGCTTCTTCTTCGGTGAGTGTGGTAGACCAAGTAGTGGCTGGCATCTTGATGTTCTTGAGGAACTGCTTGAATTGTGCTTCATTGGTGGTGCCAGTGTAGTTGTGTAAGACTCACTGCAGCGTTGCGTGGGAGGCGTCAATAAAAATAGGGTCCCACTTTTGTGCAGGAAGTCGTGAGCAGATGGTGTGATGGTTGTCCTCGTTCATTGTCGAGGGCAGTCATCAGTCCGCTCGGCGTTGGCACTGGTAGCCTTTGGTTGGGGTAGTGCGTTGTCAGGTCTCGTGGTGTTCTCCGACGAGGCGCCCAAGATAGTCTCGGCCAAGAGATCGCGAACAGAAGGGCTGATTGTCAGCGGCTGCGACGTTTGAATCGTGGTCGAGGGCTCCGCCTTCAGCAGTGGCGGCGTTGGCGATGCCATCCACGTGAAGCTGACGTGCTCGTACGGATGAGATGAGTTCGGCAAGAAGTACGGCTTCCGCCATGTCACG